AGTTCTCTGTGCTAAGGTTCATGTATAACCAGGTCACATTTAGGGAGACAGTTGACAAGGCAGTTGGAATTCCAGCTTTGGAAACTATGAAGTCACTGATGAAAATAGTTTGCCCTTTGGAAAGCTTGTGACCTTTTCAATTTTGGCTTTAAGTTTTATATTTTATACAATTTTGGATAGATTCTTAATTTCCTATGCTGTATTTAAAGGGAGTCTTGTCCTACTTGAACATTTTCCTAACCTTAACCTTTAATCATATCTTTGTTCCTAAACTTCATACGTTCACTGACTCCACCACAGACTGTCCCTTCAGAGCAAACTAGCAGCAACCTTTTCTCAAAAGTTCCTGTTGACAACCAATATTGTGACTTCTGTGGACATTACCTTCAGACTCATTTATGATTCAGCGAGATATTTTTTAATCATTTTCTTACTAACTTAAATTATTTGATAGATATTTGGTGCTACTTTTGTTCGCCTTTTGCCAGACAAATGCACTTTATTTCAGTGGAGGAAGTAAGAGTCCTTCCATTGTGCATTATTCAGACAAAATTGCTGCAATTTCTTTAGACAGTCTGTACTAACCCTGCACCACTCAGGCTTTTGAGATCTTTTCAGCGTAGTATGAGTCTAGCTACATGGCTGTTCCTCTATCTATTTTGTGGACAAGTGCACTTTTGAACAGGGCCATAGATTTCTGTATTTTTTTTTTTGAAGAAGCACTATCTCTGATGTAGCATATCCTCTATTTTCAGTTTTAGACTATGATGGTTCCCCATCAAAATATACCTGGCCCTGTCCATAGACTGTATGACATATCTGTGAGCATCTAAGCGTTTCAGACTCCAACAAATTCAATTAACTTTGTACTGAAAAAACGTCGCCCCTCTGTCCATAAGTTAGACTCATCATTTCAGTTTTAAAATGTTTGTATGTATGATCCTAGTGTTTTTATATGGCTGTTTTATCTGCAAATGAAGACATGAACACTAATAACAGACCAATTTCCCGTCCCCTGCTAAACCATCGGTACGGGTGGAACAGAGCATTACCTTCATCAAATACAATTACAAATACTCAAAACTTAGCTACAAATTCTCCCCTGTTATGACACATGACCTGGCTCCACCTCACCCTGCCCTCCCCATTTGCCTTTTGAATTTGCATGTGCTGTGTTGTCCCTGGTGTGCGATTGGTGGGGTACGTCCCCGTCTCTGCTGGACTGGCTCCAATGTTTGTTGTGCCGTGGTTGGAGGATTGTCGTCCCCTTCCTGATGCGCCAATGCCTCGCCCAGTAAAAGTCCTGTGTGCCTGTTCCTCCTGATGGCAGAACTACAGTGTCACCTCCCCATACTCCACATTAGACGTGTCTCTTGTTTGCCTTGTGGAAGTTATTTGTGTGTAAATTTGTATGTGAGACACTAGAGGTCGTTATTGAGCTATCGTTTTTGTAAGTGCCAGTGTGGCTCGGCCTTTGGGCATTTGTACTTTCTTTGATTTATCTTAGTCCCATTAGAGTTACTGTTTAGTTGTACTGGGAGTTTTTGAGTGGTTATCTAATTTAAAATACCCCTTTTTGCTATTGTACTTCCTTACATTGACTTTATAAAGCCACTTAAATGTCATCACATCTTGTTTGTGTTACTTTCCTTTGTCCCTAACACTGGTTTGTAACATAATGAGGGATTTGAACTCGGGTCGCACCTGAAGCGAGAATCACACCCCTAACACTGTCCCTAACACACTCTGTGACACCCCTATAACCGCTGGCCTCAATTCAGTTCATTTGGCTGGAGCCGAACGCTGTGGATGACATCACTCTCCCTCAGTTCTCTTCTCTCTACAGTCTGTGCTTCTGTCACATTATTTTGTTTAGCACTATGTTTATGGTCATGTTGAACAGACTCAAACACTTCAGGTAATTCAAACCAGAAGGTGCTTGTGTGTTTATAGTCACACATTTTGCTTTTAATAATTTCAGAACTAAAATTGCCTTCACAGTGAAGCATCTGTTCATCTTGTGGTAACAGGTGTGCTAAATTGCTCCTCTTATTGTTGTGTGCACAGGTCTTCAGGCACCTTATCCAAGTATTCAAAAGAAATGTGAAAATGAAACATGCTGTCAAAGAGAAAGTTCCTGTTGTAGTATTTTTTGTTGTAATTGCTTTACAAAATACAAATGCTAAGGTGTTACAAATACAGTCATACAGCACAGCATTCGGAGAGCCAAACCTTTTTTAATTTTTTCCCAACATCCAACATTTTTCCAAAATCATTCGAAGCAGTGGTCAGGCCTGTCACATTTCAGTTCAAAGTACATGAAAATATCTTCTCTGCAACATCGTTCAGGCCCCAAGTTCAGTTTTACTGAAAGAGGAATACATATGCTTCGATGGATAAAAAAAAAATAAAAAAATTCTGAGTAAAATTATGCTTGCATTTCGTAACTGAATAATACTTATTACTGCACATTAATGTGAGTTAGAAGCTTCTGGCTACAGCTTCAGTTTGCTCGCATTATGGCTATTACATTGTGTTTCTCATCTTTAAACACGATTCTTCTCTGATGAACTCACTGTCATTGTTGATGGTACATACAGTGCCTATCTTCTTCATATCAGATTTCTTTGTTCAAATGAAAACACAATCAAATCTCCTCTTGAAGTTGAGAATAGATTAGATTATCATTAAACCTGTTTCATCTGATTAGTGAGCTCATTTAGCCATGTGCTCATAAGCACAATCCAAATGCAATCAAGAATTGTGCACAGTGATGTGTTATCAAATACAAAACAGGAGAGGACGTCACAGAAAGCAAAATTAAACTTTATTAATCGAATACTTAGCAACACCTTCAAATGAAATCCTATGTCATTATTCACAACTAATGTACATCTGCACAGAGCAAACAAAACTGTCAAAATAGTTACAAAGATGTCCACTTTTTTCAAAATGGCATTGCTCTCAAACAGAAGTCATTCTTATCTTTCCTGCCACAGTGTAAATGTAAAATGAAAGTAATGAATTGCACATTGCACTTATTATTGCATTAGCTGCAGTTGGTTTCAACAGTAGTCACAATAACGCAGCGTTACTTACCACGTGAAGCAAACATGTCCATGGTTCACAACGCGCTACAAGCCTTAAAACTCCGAGGATGTAGAGAATAGTGATCAAATACACACAATATCGTGTCAATGAATATGCAAATGATCTGAAGGTTGTTTTGGTTGCATATCAGCTATTAGCAAGACGCCGTCTGCATGTTTGTAGTATACTAAATATTATACTAAATACTGGCTCAACAACAAGAACATCCTCAAGAGTGTCCCAAATATTATAATACTTTTCTTTCAAATAACATGTAGTTTACCAACAAGCAAAGCATGGAAGCACAATTCTGCCACAGCAATCAAATGAATACAGTTTTTTGACATTTTATTATCTTAAACCATTGACTTTGAGTTTCTCAAAAGCCACGCTGTGTTTGATGTACCAATTAGCTCTATCTATGTAGTGGCTTGTTGTAAAAAATTGCAAAACATTTACAAAATCATTTTGTGTTTTTTATTTTCAGCCATAGATCTTTTCATTTCCTTTTTAGCTTATTTGTCAGGTTGTTGTTTTGAGAAACTCGGCCTACAGTCAACAAACACAACAAACAAGCCATTTTCCCTTGAATGGGAGAAAGTTGCTTCCGTACATAGTTATGTGCATCACAAGAGCATAAATAAATACATATTCCAAAAACCCCAGTTATTTTTAAATAAAATATACATAATAATAATGGCAATATAAAGACATTCAAACCTAAAACATCCGATGAAAAAAAAAAAAAAAGACAAGATGAACAATCTTGAAAAGAGACTGAGTGGTCACGTCCGCCCAGGCCCCGCTGGTCCCCCCTGAACCCCTGAACATTCTTGGCCCCCAAAAAACCTCCGGGCACCATCCAATGAAATCAGCTTTCTACCTCACTTCATGCTTCTGCTAAGATGAGATCGCTGAAACTTTTGGAGGCACCTTTTGGCTTTTCAGTCCAAATAAATCCTCCCACATCAGAGGAAGTCCAGAGTAAAGTGTTCAATAGTCTATTGCATGAGCGCCGCGTAGTCGACTAATGTGCTACTTCACAATAGTCTTGTACAAAACAAAGAGTAGAAGTTGTTAAACAATCATTGCATTTGTATGCATACAGTGTTTTTGCCACTGATTTTCACTAATTCCCATTCATGCATCTATATACTATTAGTCAATAGGGCTGGCTATGTCGGAAAGCTTTTTGTTTAAGCAGGGAGCAGGACTAGACGTGAATGGTTGAAATGGCTGAAAACGTATGTGGAAAAGAACAGGAGCACAGATATATTATAATAATCATAATAGGTTCACAAGTTCACTGAACAAATACTCACTGTACAACACTCAACATGCAGTAGAAGAATTTTAGAAATAATATGGGAAGCTCGAGGTGTGATACCATTGGCTGAACAGGGTCATGTGATGCAGCAAACAGTATTGGGTAAATGCAAATTAGGACAAGCAGAGCAATCAAATGATCAAAATATCCTTTTTGAAAATATAGTTACAAAAATCTGTGAATTTAGCTACATCCCAACACATTTGCCGATAGCATCACTGAGCAGCTGAAAGATGCAAAACTATTCTCTACAAGTTTGGTACATTACTATTTCAGAAAACAAATACGCAGCACTGACAGAGAAAAGATGGAGGCATTAGAAGAACGCAAACACAAGTTGTTCCTATAAACATTCAACATGCTTCAACAATTTGCTACAAACCTAATCAACAGAGAACTTTTACATAAATAATGGTATTTTTACAGTTCTGGAAATGCCGACACCCAGCCTGTCCTGGTCAGGGAGGTGCCAGGGCGGTAGGGGGTCAGGTGTCCAGAGAACTGCAGTCAGAGTCCAGGGGGCGTGGTCAGGAGCGCGCTGGTCGATAATGAAAGGGCCAACCGGAGAAGCCAGACAGGGAGCTTATGATGTTGTCATGGAAGATGGGTCATTCCACATGGCTGCAACATCTCGGAACCTACAGCAACAGAGTGGAGTCCAACATTTACAAAGTGAAGCCATTTTTACGTATACCAAAAAGCTTTATTTTTGGGGTTTACTGAAAAAATAGCACACATAAATCAAGTTACAAACCTGAAGGGACCCTATACTGTACTGTTTTTAGGTTTGTAATGTTCTTGTGAAGTGAATGCACACCTCGCATTGATGAGGTATTGGGCCAGGCTGATGTTAGCGGGAGTCCCTGTGATGGTGATCTGGCGCTCCGATGACCCTTCCATAGCATTAGCAATTTTGATCTGTGCCCCAGACATCTGACGGATCTCGTTGATTTTGGTTCCCTGGCGTCCGATTATGCAGCCTATTAGCTGGGAAGAATATGGAGGTGCCACTTAGATAAAGCAGCATGAACACACATAACCACATTTCTGACTAAAACCTGTTAGTGAAGTCAGACAGAAAAATATTTTAGCTAATACATAACAACAATTGCACCAAAGAACTAAATTGCTATTATGAAATACTTAACATGCTGCATAATCTACTCACATCATTGGGAATGGTGAGTTCATGAGTACTGGCCTGGTTACTGGCATCCAGACCTGCTGCTGCAGATGGGAGCACACAACAGGGAGAACAGAGATTGGTACAAATGCACTCATCACCTATAATCCATGATACTTTGTGCACAAGATCTAGAGGATTGGTTGTGTCCTCTCAGTGGTACAAACTGGGTCAGGGCAGCCTGGTGTGATTGGGCCTGTTCAGTTTGTTTCAGTTGTGTGACTTTTGTGTTCGTATGCAGATACACATTGACTGGACTTTAGCTCAAAAGTAAATTAAACTCTTGACCTCTTCAGCCAATAATGTGACAGTAGAAGTACTGTATTAGGTCTCCTTGCCAATTTACAGATGCATAACAAGCCACCTTGCTACTAACAAGGATTAAAGGTTAAAAAGTTAACATGTAGGCACAGAATACAACAACTATGACAGGAGTGATGGGAACACATGTAAATTATTAAGCCATTAATATTAAGCCATCAAGGAAAATATTTTTCACACAACAATGGCTTAGTCGTGCCAGCTGACCCCCAGCATAATGTACTGAAAATAGGGCTTTAACTTGTGCCAAAGCTCTTCCATAGGTTTTCATTCAAAAGAGGATAGACGGTGATGAAATGACAGCAGAAACCTCAACATTAGCCAGAGCAGACCACCAGCAGGCCATGTCTACCACAGTAGAGAGGACACAGAGAGTGTGCTGTGTAAGGTCCAGACAGGAGCTTTGGTACAGGACGAGTGTGGGTGGGTACGTACCGGGGAAGGCAGGGGTGGTCTGTCCGAGGGGGGTAAAGGGGGTTTGCTGCATAGCCAACTGGTGGAGCTTGCTCAACTGCTGAGGGGGGGAGGAGGAGGACAGCAGAGCTATAAGGTCCAGATTGTTAAAAACTCAAACACATTCACCCAGTCACAAACGCACTCATCCATTCATCCACATGTATAGAGACACTGTCCAGTTAACTACAACAGTAAAGAGTGGACAAGGAGAAGTACAACACAGGACAAAGTCAGAGAGAGCTGAGAGAAGGCGCTCATAGGGGACTTGACAGTAGTGACAGGAGGCTACCTGACATTTCTACACCCAATTTACTCCTCAACATCTGTACAAGCAGTGGTCTACTGATACTATTACATTTCAGCAGATTTATGGTGTCCACTTAAAGCACAATCAGGGCTTATTGTTGCTTTCCTATTGTTATAGTTTGAATGGCTTCTGCTGCTTACAAACTTTCTAATCAAGGCATTTGATGCTTTATCCAAGATGAGATCCATTAAGTTAGGGGCCATAAGTAACATGAGAACATTGTTCAAGAGCTTAAGGGATATTCACTGAACTTTCCACTTGCGGCACCTATGTGATATATAGACGATATAATAGTGTCTGTAATCCTCCCATGTGTAACAACAGTATTGATCCTATAAAGCCAAAGGCAAAGTCAGGATCATATACATAGGAAAGAATTGTTTGGATAGTATTTCTGCAATTGTTGCCTCAAAATATGGTGTAGATTGTCTAAGTCCCATGAGAATTGAACAGGGAAAGGAGGCAAGAGATAGAAGATACATATTAGAAACATTGCTGTATTAATATTATAAATTAATATTAATAAGGGAGTATAGATGTAGGCCTGTCTCAGAGAGAGGTGAATCTGGGGAGGGCAGCCTTTAGGGGCACTCACATCAGGATGAGGGATGGCGTACTGTCCCTGGATAGTGTATGCCTGCAAAGAATAAAAAAGAAAAGAATGTTTGGGTGAATGAATTCAATATCAGGTATGAGTGCAATATGCACTACATCAACTGAACACTGATGTAAAGAGGAGTGGAGGATTTGTTTTACATTACGGTGTGTGAAAAGGATGTGTGCCACCACAGGTCTGACAGCATGAAGCGTGATCATTGTTATTCATATAATTTGTATGTCCAAATATAGTTTGAGTTTTGTTAGTGAAATGTGGTCTTTGTCACATTTAAAATACGGGGCACACAAAGCAGCAATGTCACCAGGACACCAGAAGACAAACTATTGTGTCTGCCCATAGTTCTTGTTTCTTCTGGTAATCAAAGTCCAGTATGCATTAGAGGTACAGAGGGCCCAGTTTATACTCTTGACTATGAGAACCACAGCAGCATACATGACGGAGCTTGGCGTCTTAATCGTGCGATACTTTTTAGCATTACCTCTAATCATGCTAAACGTTTAGTCTGGAAACATACAGCACCTGAATGACCAACTGCAACAAGATAAGAATGGTAATATCACACTTAAATCCAATATTGATATATTGTCGACCCCTTACTTTATAGTTACATATTTTTAGCATGTGCTTCACATACTGTGCTCATAGTTTTTGATACTTCTTTTCCTGATGTATGATACAGAGAAATTCTTGCTGTCAAATTCACCTGACTGCTCAATATTGGGGCTGTAGTAAATTGACAGATTTTTTTTGTAATTCTCAGAGATCCAACAATATGATGATAAAAGTGTATTGGAAACTGTAGTGTGGATGTGCCTTTTAGGTGAAATTGACACTTTTCTCCTCCCACTCCTCTGGATCAGCCTTTATTTAAACCTGCTAGTCGCTCTCTCCAGCGTAGTGGTCTCATGGCTTTAGGCATTATGAAAATATTAATTGCACACATTGTGATAAAAAACAAAATAATAATAATAATAATAATTGTGAAATCTGCTATCTTAGAACGTGATCTCTCACTCCTCTTTACCATAGACAAAATGACTTAAAAATGATTAAAAAAAATAAAATAAAAAACTATATGGTTTATTACTGACATGCATCCCACATTCAACTCATCAGTCAGATCCAGTTGAATTGAGTACAGTTGAGGACAGTGACAGTGGGTGTGAGTGGAGGGCGTGGGACAGAGACGTTCTAAAGAAGTAAATGCTTTGACCTATTGATGCTGAGTGTGTTTAATAAAGGGCAGACAGGTCAGAACAGAGATATAAATCTACCTGACAGTTTGGGCACCATCACCATCAGGAGTTTTTGTTTTAGAGTTTTATCTAATGTGTCATACTTTCACAAAGCATCATGCTTTGTGAAAAACTTTTATTGTTAAAATCTTACATGCATCTGAGAGAGCACAAGCCTTGTATGTCCCTATTTTTCAATCTAAAGCTGCTGAGCCTTGGTTTTAGTTTGTGCCTGCTACAGAATTACAGCAACAAGATCAAGGTTGTCCTCTTTTGTCTTTGAGTCATGGTGGAGACTGAGGGATTTGGATCAGTGTCCCCTGCTGATTTCCCTCAAGTTAAGGGTGTGGATAGGTGCTCAGAGCGAAGTGAAAAACAAAATTCTGCAGATTTTTCTTTTACATTTTAAAAATACTGACTCTGGAAACTCACTTTACAATCTCTCTTTCTGACGCAATGACCTTTGTTAGAGTATATAAAGTATATGAATCCTCATAATGACTGGCGGCATTTGTCTGAGTGATGTCCTGGCCTGATGGATGGCAGCAGTGCCCATGTCATGCTCTAACCAGGGGCAGTGGGGGCGACAATGAGGGGTGGGGGTGAGTAGAACCTGGTGTGACACTAACAGGCAGTGGCTGGTGCTGCAGTAAGAGGCTGAGGTTTGCCGTGGACGCCGCCAGCGGATCTGCCCTTACCTGGCCACCTGAAAAAATGACAGGGGTGGAGGCAGGCTTGGGGCGGTACGGAATGGTGGCACCTTTGGGTGGGGACTGTGGGTGGGGCAGAGGGGAGAAAAGTGGGGGAGAGAGTGTGTTAGAACAGAAAGTCGAACAGTGCTGGAAAGGGAGGCCACCTCACAAAGTGCTCCTGTGTGCACATGCTGAAGGCTGGGCCCGAGTAATACCTGGAACACCACTTCAACTGGGTAAGGAGGACTTTACAGGTTAGCTTCAGCCCGTATGAACTTACAATCATGTGACAAATGTCCAAATGTCCAGGGCTGGGGGCGAGATCAAGGCCCAATGAAGAGGTGGCTGTAGATAGTTCAGAGTTAATGAAGAGACTACAAAACAAGTACTTCATGATGTCTGTTTGTCTCATTGTACCATTTAGAATTTGGTTATGCTGCTCAATAATCCAAATAACAAATGGCAAATTGTACCCTACTGTCGTAGTGTTTTTGGGCTATTAAAGAGAACTTTCTATGTAATTCACACATTTGTGTTTTCCTACAAATGTAAAAAATGGTGTGTCATAACTGTGATCATTATTGAGCAGTTGTACAGTTTACTGTTGTGTGCAGGCTTTGCATATGTACAGGGCCCTGCTTATGAGGTAACCAATATCTGAATGTGAAGTCAGCAGCTACAACTGTAATGTCCACCTGAAATCATAGCAGCATTTGTATATTTATTGTTAAAAGGTAATTGTATCTGTGGCTTTTTAGTGAAATGTCTGAGTTGTTGAATCTTCAGAGGGATTTGAAATCTCCTAATTTGAGCTTTTATATAAATATATAATGTTCAATTTATTTGGAAAGTCTTGTTGATATGAAAAGTTCTTGTGAGTTTCCAAATGTTACCTCGAGCATGACCACACATATTTGTTTGACACACTGGATGATGGCTTCAGGGGCCCCCGAGATGGTTACGGCCCTCTCTGTGGAGTTAGGCAGCATGTCCCCGGCCACCTGCACCTGCGCCCCAGTAGACTGCAGATACATACAACACAAATGTTTAGCATTCACACTGATATAATATTTGGTCAAATCCACTGTGTAAAATGTGTACTCCATTCATCTGTGTGTGAAATATGTATATTAAAACCCTCACGCTCTCTTCGGGGTTGCGTTGACCTGAACACATTTTTTTTCCCTTCCCGCTCTCTTGGGGCGGGTCAATCAGACCCAGAAATGTATTTTCAAATCAATTCTCGCCAGGCAAGAAAATAAATGTTTGGGTCTGATTGACCCACCCCAAGAGAGCGAGAAGGAAAAAAAAAATCTTCGGGTCAATGTGACCCTGAGGAGAGCGTGAGGGATTTATGTACAGTATATTTTAAGATTACATAAAAAATGAATGGACAAGTTTATACGGGATTAATCTGCCCCTGTGTTCCCCAGAGTTCAGGAGACATAATAAATAAGCATAACACAGAAGTACTGGGACATACTTCTCTCATCTCCTTGATTTTGGAGCCCCCCTTGCCAATGAGTGAGCCACACTGACTGGCTGGCACCACCAGACGCAGAGTCACTGGGGGCTTACTGGTAGCTGGACTGTTGCTCATTGAGTTGATGATATCCTGCACAGAACAAAAAAATGTTGTCAGTATATAACCTTTGTTATATCCTATTGAAGAGGGAGCAGTGGTGCAGTGGGTTGAGTTTTTGTCATCTAACTGGGAATAGCCAGTTCAGTCCTACCCCGGAGGAAGATAGTTTGCCCATGATGAAACAAAAAATAACATTGTCTCATCTTGTATAAATGAGTGCTTAATTAACAGGGTACCAGGAGAAGTTCATTATCATAACATAGGGTGAAGGGTGTAGCTCATTTGACAGAGTAATCTGAAGTTTTTAAGTTTGTTTCCTGCTATTGAAATTAGATGCTGTTGTTGTGTCTATGAGCAAGACACGGTTGGAAGGGCTGTTGCCCAGTTAGACATAGTTTCAGTTTGTCTGTCCCAGACACACAGAAGTTTACTACCTGTAAAGTCCTGAACAATAATGCAACAGTGTAGTGTGATCTCAGCTGTGATCAGATGTGATGCATGTAAGAAGAATGAGTGAAGTGAAAAGTGACTCCCTTGAGTTCATAATGGCAGAGGTTTGACGTCTGCCTCTATGCAAATATGACAGACTCTTTGTATTGAGTTGAGAGTCTGTCCTTGCCTGGGCCTTCCTTTTGGCCCACTGCCCACCCTCTGTTCTCTCTATATACACAGGATAATGAAGAGTGTCCCCATGTACTGCATCCTGCTGATAATGCACCAACCCTCTGCTCTGGATACTGTCATGTCCTGCTGAAGGGCACATCAGCAGATCTCTGTCCCACCTCTGACACCTTAGGACTGGACTGACAGTTTTCTCTCAGAGGGTAGACAGTCAGAGAAGAGTTACCTCCTCAAACTTGTAAGCGATCATGGCAAAGGCTTTAAAGATGGCATCTGTGGGTCCGGTGATGGTGACGATCCTTTCAGGGCAGTTTCCTTCTGAGATGTTGATGCGAGCTCCGCTCTGCGCAGCCATATAATAGTGACAGTTCAAAAACTATATAAAACAATGTTTTTGTATTATTATTTCAGAACAAACTAGCATAAATCACTGATCATTTGTGGTGCTTTGCTGGCATCACTACAATGAATGACTTTTATGAAGCAAAACATTCTAATCACTCTATTCTTTGTGGCATTTATTCTGTAAAGAGCCTACATACAGTATATTACATTTACACCTGATGAAGAAAAAAAATAAGAAAAGGAAAATAATAATCATGCCATCACTCTTCTATATAAATGTTAATGCTGCCATCTTGTGGAATCGAACACTCTTGGAGTTGAGCGTTGATGCTGTAGAATAAATTGAATGAATGAATTTAATGTGATGATACAGTATCGATATTGTGGTTTGCTATATAAATATATATCGGCAAGAGTATTTATGGTATGTTTTACTAAATTATTTTGTTACAGCTACAGTTTTGTTGTTTGTTTAGAGGAAGGAAACTCGTTTATGCGACACATTTGACATTTTCAGTGTTTTGATGATTAAAATGTTTGTGTTTCATATGAACTTTGCACAAGAAGTGGTTTAACAAAAACTTTTAGTATCACAGCCATGACTTAGTCTTTTTTCTTTCTTGAACTGTAGCGAATCAATTTGAAATATATCGTATCAAACTGAAAGTGCACTGTATCGAATTATGCATCATATCAGCAACTTCTTAATGATACCAGCCCTAATAATAAGTAGTTAAAAACTCAAGTCTACATTCAAGAATGTCAAGTATATTCATTTATTATTTTCTGTTTGTTTGTGCTGTGATGCATGACATTTCCTTTGTATCTATATTCCACAAAATAACTTACATCCTCTCGCATTTTCTTCACAGTCTCTCCTTTCTGCAAAAAACAAACATTTTACCATGGCTTCAGGCCCCTCATTCATTTCTCTGCTCTGCTTGTGTTGGTGCTATTACCTTTCCAATGATGCTGCCCACCTCCTGTGAAAGCACACACATAGAATGATTAAGTTATATATTATGAAAATATGTCCGTGTCTGTTTAGTGCTGTGACAGCGGCGTACCTTCCCGTGCATGAGCAGTCGGATGGTCAGGGTGACGTTAAGCCCGCCTTCGGACTGGACCTTGATGGGTTCCATGACTGTGGTTGGTTGTGTGAGGGAGGTGAGGTAACAGAGGAGGGGGGGTCCAAATAGTGTGATGGAAGAGGGAACCAAACGGACCTGCAATAGAAGATGCAGTGTGGGTTAAATTTTCTAAATTTGATGGGACTTTGAAGGTTTTATAGTGCAGTGTGTGACCACTCAGACCCAAAGAAGTTCAAGAAGAAACCATTTAAAAGTGCATTTGACTTCAAAATGCCAGAATAATTATTATAGTTTTGGCAAAGACGAGGGCCCACACTACAAAGTTGAAGATTAACTTACATGTTAGTTACACTTTATACACTGAATCAGGTTTAAAATTCAAACATGTCTGACTGGACTCAGGTCTATACTCAGGTCCCTGTGTCGCACATCCAGGTCCATCCAGGTTGTTAACCTTCACGTACAAACAGATTTGACCCATTATAAATCCTAGTGGTGGAAACTAGTCATGACAAGTTGGCTGCAAGGTAGTAATTCAATTTAAGTTAGTGCATGTGGTCAGTTAGTTAGAAGTACAGAGAAATTGTAACAAATAGCAAATACAAAAGTTTGAATACCGAAATTATTTAATAAAAAAAAATAAAAAAACACACATTCTTGTGCCAATGCTATTATTTTAATCAAGCTCATTTCAGCTACAGCCTGGTGGCAATCCTCCTGAAAGCAAACGTAATGCGTGTGGCCAGAAGAGGGCAGTACATGCAGACTTTCTTTCTCATATTCTAATTTCCAAGATCATTAGTAAATTATTTTCTTTTTTCTTCCAATGGGAAATTGATAAGAGATACTTTGTGCAGATTTTGACCAATCAATCATGGGTATGTTTTGGACATTGTATAATTTGATGTCGTTTCTTGCTATTCCTGTATTCGTCTAAATGAAGCTGCAACTGCTTCTTTGTAAAATATTTGGTAACACTTTATAATAATGATGAATTCATGGTGACGTCTCGTCTGGTGAAGTCTCGAGGTCATGCATGAATCATGATGAACTAATGCATCAACCCATTTACCATAATTAAACCATGTTAACAAATATTTTATTACATGTGTTGCACATTACCGTGACTAAAGTTGATAAGTCAAAGAGTCAGAAAGTGCATCACAGTCAGTTACTTGATTCTGTGCAGTTTGTCACACTCCTGGTCTTTGTGTGGTTCTGATATAATTTTTGTTGGTATAGACTGCATGTTGTTGGTTCATTGTCTCCCCTTTATAACTACAGTATATGCAGTTGTTCTCACTCAGAGCTGTTACACCTACTGTAAATATACACCATGATGTGTGCTGGTCCCATGCTAAAAGTCCCCATGTGCTGGTCTAATCCGACCTCAGAGCTGGGCCGAGGCCAGTGGAGGTCCACACATAAGACTAGGATTCTGAACCAGCTGTCCCTCCAATCCCCCCAGTCTCACTCCACCTCTCCCCCCACCCCACCACCAGCCACAGATTACATAAAGGCCTTAATCTGAGGGTTTAGAAACAAGAAGCCACTCAGGCCAGAGGTGGCATGAACCGAGGACTAGACCAAGGCACATGGGGGAAACCTAGACCCACCACCAAAGGACTGGAAAGGAAAGGTTTAGGTCATCTGATCAAAGTGGTTTGGACATGATATTCTTAGTTTTTATCACATTGCTTAAGATCTAAAAAAAAAAATTTTATTGTGAGGGAAAAGGCAAAAAATCTTCATGTTACTTGTTTAAAGGGCTCATATTACACTATTTTCTGATCTATACTATGATGTTTCCTCATTAAAAACATACTTGGAATCTTTTTTTTTTTTTTTTTTTTTTCCACACATGTTTAATACACAAACCCTGAAAATAGATGCAGTGTTCTTCTCCCAGATAGAAAACACTACACCTTGTGATGCCATGCGGCAATACACTGTTTTTAAACTCCAGTCACCTTCACTAGAATCATTTGGATAATTTCAGCCCTGGAACTGCCAATCTCTACTGAACTAAAAGTAAAAGATACTGTAGCTGTTAACTTAAAAGAAAGCTACTATTACATGACATCACAAGGTGGAACTAGAATATTTTGAGCTACTAATAATGCAGGATTACTCAAACGTGTTTGAGGTAGCAACATTCTTAAATGACTTGAAGCTCACAAGAGTTCATTTGGAGTAATATAAGACCTTTAATGCTGCACAGTCCAGCCCTAAACTCTGAACTGAATGGATTTAGGTCAAGGCCCATGATTCACTCCACCATCCAGGATAAAGCCCTCCAGCACCTCCCTACTTAAAAAGCAGGATTTGGTGCTTTCACCCCGCACCACTTACATCTTTTCTCTTTATATGTCTCTCTCTGTGAGTACAATACAAGAGAAGTGCCTGTGGCACAGTCAGACAGAGGTTAATAATGGCTGAGAACATACTGCAGCTCTAAGTAGACTGCAGTGTCCCCTCAGTGTCCCTTCAATGTCTCCTCAGTGTCCCTTCAGTGGATGGACGTCAGTGTCTGTTCACTGTCCCTGGCTATTGATTGCATTCCAAACGGGAAGTGAGCATGGGTGCTGCTATTTCGAGGTCTGGCTCTGGTTGACTTCTGTTGAAAAATCACCACATTCTGTGTATCTGCTGCTCTCAGGCTTTCCTCACATTCATTTTATGTTGCTGTTTTTACTGTAAATAAAGACATGCACATTAATAACAGATCAGCTAGGTCCATTGTTTCCCTAAAGAAACTGCTGCTAGCATTAGCAACAAGTTTGACTGACAGTACTCACAGGAGCAACTACCTTCTGCAGCCTCACTCCTGATGGGCTTTTAGCTGGTCTTGGTTGCAGATTAGCCGGCTATAACTGCCTCAATTGGTTTCTCTCAGATGCGACCAAAAGCCGACTCCCTCAGTCCACTTCTGCACAGGCTATTGTGGACCCTCAGTGAGTCCTTAGTGTCCCCTAAGTGAATCCTCAGTGGGTCCTCATTGTCCCCCTAGTGTCCCCTCAGAGAGTCCTCTGTGTCCCCCCAGTGGCCCCCCAGTGTCCCCTCAGTAGGACAGTGGTGATGCTCCTGATGTCTGGGAGAATCTGGGTCACACTGAGCTCGGCCTCCTCCTCTGTGCGGACTATACTGAATTAATCACGCTTTACGCTCGGCTGGACCACACAGCGCACAAAATGACCCCCCCCCCCCCCCCATGTACATGGAACCAAAGCAAAGGCTAGTGAATATAATGTTGGAAAGTGGTCTTTTTAACTATCACAGTGTCTGCCCTCCAGCACGTCCTCTGCCTGCTGTAACCAAGAAGAAAAGCAAAGATGGTTTCAAGTGCACTTAGTTTGATCCTTCCCTCAAAATCTATAGAAGACATAACAAAGCGAGGACATGCCCAGAGTGACCAGAAAACTCATTTTATAATATGCTTTGGTATGGTCGATGCAATTCTTAGACCAAATTTAAACATGTCCCTTCTCATGCATCAAATTGTGTTTAATATCCATCTGCAATTTGTATAACATTCACTGAATATTGTACACAACATTACTCTGTAACAATTTAGGTATTATCTTTCAATGACCCTGTGTCTGTCTCAAAGTGTAAACTGATGTACAGAGAATCAAAACCCCTTTTAAGCAGCAGGGACTCTGTTCTACACCAGACATCAGGTTGCCAGGATTATCAATCAGCAAGAATGCAACAAGGGATTGAAACAAATCATGAAAATGAAAATAATTCCATAGTTAATATACATTTGATCATCGATGTTTCTCCAGATAGGATGACTGAATTGTCACAGAACAAAACAGTTATGTATCCATAATAAAACTTTTACAAATATTATGCCTATATGACTTACATATGAGGTGTCTGAAAGTAGGTCATATTATCATATCATAACTATATGCATATCGTGTGCAGCACCGTTAACATGGTGCAGACTCGAGGGCAGCGGTGAGAGCCTACAATGATTAAATTCACCACCGTGGTCTAATCTAGAGCAAAGCTGCTGTCATCTGTTCAACATAATCCACATATCTGCAGATCGGGTTTCATCATGTTCAGTGGTAAAAACTGAAATAGACTGGCATCATGCCAATTAAAGTTTATCTATATGTTAAATATTTATTTTTTTACTTTTATGATTACTATTTAAAATGTATGTATTTGTTTGTTGCTGTCTGTGGTCAGGACTACCTAGTCCTAGATGGAGGATTGGGCTGTTTTAAGGATAATTGAGAGAAAATTGTGGAAACCGCCTACACTTGCTGGCATATACTGTAAGTTTATAAAGCTGCCTGTCCACCTGAAAAAATCATGTATGTGAATACTGGCCATGTGGCAAAGGATTTGGGAGAGCCCTTTTCTCCTTTCATGGGTACCCCAGCTTTATGTAGTCATATTCATACAATGTATGTCGTTTTTCCAAAGTAAGGGTGTTTTTTTGTTGTTTTTTTGTTTTGTTTTTTAAATCCTCTTACATGTATTAATTATCCCACAATTGCCATGTTGCAGTATTATCTGTAATGTTAGCTTTTATGTATCAATATATCAATGTATCAATATGTGATACTCAACTCTAGTTCATCTACAACAGTAACACTTTGGAATTGCTCACAGGCAAAGAGTGCACTAACAGGGCTGAAGCTCACGTGGCTAACATGGCACCTTTGAAGTAGCAGATAGGGTTTTGCATGTGTGGGGCGGGGGGCTGCCTCGTGGATGTGTTTGCGCCCCAGCTGAGGTTAGACAAAGGCGGGAGTGTGGCGCGTAGATATGGGGCAGCAGGAGGGGGTCAGGAGGTGACCTGGATGCTCCATATGTTTCTACCAAAGCAGTCAGCATCACTGGAGCCAGGTTTAAGAGTCTGAATGTGCCACAGAGAGACCATTAGAATCTAGAATTTGTTGGGTGGGACTACTATAGAAAAAATGTAAATTAATCTTTTGCAACATTAGAATCACTTTTAGCCATTGGCATAAAGTGCACCAACTACTACTACTATGACTTGCTGTAGCTGTGCAGAAGGTCTTTATTTT